AAATGTCCATGAAGAATCGTCCAGATCAGCCTCAGTTGTGTGACCAAATGTTGCCCATGCATGTTTCCCTTCAGCAGACCTAAAGGTTGGTCCTGGACTCACGGACTCACTGCTGCCCAGCGCTCTCTCCTCCATCGCTAACCTGTCCAGCTGCATGAAAGATGGAAAGGATGAGGATGGAGGTAGGTGTGCTCACTCAGATAGAGAGATGTGACAATACTGAACCAATGCTATTGTAGAAATGTTGTGTCTGTGATGAAGCTAAGCCTAATTGTCCTGTGTGTGTGTGTGTGTGTGTGTGTGTGTGTGTGTGTGTGTGTGTGTGTGTGTGTGTGTGTGTGTGTGTGTTTAGGGATTGAACTGGACAAACTAGACGCAGACATGATCAAGCTCCTCGCCTGGCAAAGGATCCAGCAGCTATTCCCCCCCAAAGCGCCCAGCACTCCGCCTCCCCTAGCTACCAGTGCTGCCTCTAAAACCCCGTCACCCCGCCCCGACAGTAAGACTTTCATTTAGTGTCAGTAACTTCAATCCCCATTTCTTGTTGATTAGAGTGTGTGTGGGTTTTCTGACTGTTAAAATGAATTGGTATGAATTCCCACCAGGTCAGAAGAAGGTACAGGCCCGGGCCGTCTTCTACCCTCTGACAGGAAAAGGAGGCGCTGTTAGCATGTGCTATAGGACGTTATACATAGGATCTGGTAAGACATGCTGACTGCATCACAGTGACTTCAAAAACATTCACCCAATGGTCCTTTGTGCACAACTCACCCTAAGCCCCGCCCCTTTTTGTTCTGCGCTCCAGTTGAGTTAGCTGTGGTTAGCCGTGGTTAGCTTTCTCCTTTACTGTGCTTACATATGCTATATGCTAGGCTAGTCTGTGTTGAAAAGACATCCACTTTTTGAAAATGGTTAAAAGCAACATACCTAGTCACGTCTTAAGTTAGCTAGCTAATATTAGCACAGTGTGGGCTAACTAGGTAGATAATCTACATCAGTTGTTTGCTAGCTAGTTATATCCAAGCTAACTACCTAGCTAATTTACATCAGTCATTAGTTTTTTAGCTTATGTTTTGCTAAAGTGAGCTAATCTTTTATCTTTTAATGATCTTTACTTATTTTTTGATGAGTCTCTGATTTCAAATCTTAATTTTGCTAAATGTAAGCATACATTTAGAATTTAGTTCTTTTATGTTTAGACCAGAGTTTCTCAATCTTGTTAGTTTGATCTTGTGACTTCTGGCACATTTTATTTTACCTGATATGTGTGGAGGTGTAGCACTGCATTAAAAGCCCTACATTTGTCTTAGATGATCATTATTGAGTTTTGGCCTACATTTACAACTCACTGTTTCTTTGTATTTCATGTGCTTTGTAAAGGTGCTGACATGGACGTGTGCCTTACAAACTATGGTCATTGCAACTACATATCGGGGAAACACGCCTGTATTTTCTATGATGAGGTACGGGCTTATAAACTGCTGTATTGTTTAAATCCACAAGGATATGTTTTTATTTACCACAATTCTGCAAGTGCTGTTGTTGATGGACACAGTGTAAATGGTTTAGTGTGTGTCCTCTTCAGAACACCAAGCATTATGAGCTGCTCAACTACAGCGAGCACGGCACCACAGTGGACAACGTCCTGTACTCGTGTGACTTCTCTGAGAAAGCCTCGCCGTCTCCACCCAGCGGCTTGGTGGCCAAAGTGCAGGGCATCATCCGTGAGTACATCTCATCCTTCCACTCTTCAGTTGTTAACGTGTGCAGTTCAGAGGGCCAGCCAAGTGCCATCGTCATTCTACAAATGCAGCCAAAGCAGTAGATAGAGTATGTCTGCACGATAGGAGAAACATCTGCCAAAACACTGTTCAGTATTGCCATGACGATGTGACTTGCAATAAATATTGAATAGTGCATGTTAGCTATACAGTTCCTGTGTAGAGCACAGTGGGGTTGAACAGTGCTGCCGTCAGAAAACAACCACTGGGCGCCCGGTTAGCTCAGTGGGTAGAGCTGGCGACCCATGTACCGAGGCTGAGTCCTTGCTGCAGCAACCCAGGGTTTGAATCCGACTTGCAGCCCTTTGCTGCGTGTCATCCCCTCTCTCTGACCCCTTTCCTGTCTGTCTTCAGCTGTCTCTATCATAAAGGCAATAAAAACCCCCAAAAATACTTAATAAAAAAAAAAAATCTTCCTGTGGCTCGTGTCAAACACAAGTTGATGCTGGAGTTGCAAGTAGACAGCTAGTTATTATACACACACACAGACACACACACACAGACACACACACACACACACACACACACACACACACACACACACACACACACACACACACACACACACACACACACACACTGAAGAGGTGTAATATTTGGCACAGCAGGCATGAAGCAACTCCGCGCCCTGCCACCAGGTGGTCCACATGTCTGCACAGGCCTTTCAGTGTATTATTCGATTTAGTCCAGTTGCTTTAACACACAGCCAATCATCTTATCTTGATGCTACTTCTCTACCCAGTCCAAGTGAAACACATAAGGCTGTTTTTCGTGTATATGCACCACTGGAAAAAAGTAACATGGAATGTATAATGTATTTTCTTTTTGTTAAAATGGATTTCATCAAATTGGTTTTAAACAAAAAAAATATTGTTCAGGAACTGTTATCAGTCAAGGTTTCTGTGTCGGTATCATTTTTGAATGATACCCAGCCCTACCTCTCAGCCGGTACGAGGACCATGTTCAGATTTCCCCCCTTGTTCTCTGTGCAGGTCGCAGTAAGAAGCGCGAGGATGACGAGGGTCCCAGCTCCGTGGTGGGCCTGTTGCCAGCCGGCGGTGTGATGAGCAGCCTGCCCCAGGGCGGCTTGGAGCTGTCGTGCAGCTGCAAGGCGAGCAGCTCCAGCCTGATCGGAGGCAGCGGGGCGGGCTGGGAGGGCACGGCCCTGCTCCACCACGGCAGCTACATCAAACTGGGCTGCCTCCAGTTCGTCTTCAGCATCACCGAGTTCGCCACTAAGCAGCCCAAAGAAGAGCAGACGCCTGCCGCCAGCTGCACCGGAACCACCACCAGCAGCAGCAGCAACAGCAACAGCGCAGCAAGCACCACTACCAGCACCAACCCCACCACCACCACCTCCATACCCCCCAATACTGCCACAGTGAGCAGCCCCTCCAGCCAGGACGAGGCCGACACAGAGACTGTCCCCACCCACCAAGTGCCCATACTGCACGCCAACTCTGTTCCATAACCGGCACAGGAAGCCCCGCCCTCCCTCCGTTTGTTTTGCACCTTCCGAGTCACAATGAAGGGAAAGCTGCACAGCTGGTTGGTCAACAGGGAAAAGTTTATTTTTTCATTTTAATGGTTTATATCTTTGCATGAACTTGAAGTATTATTGACAATCTCTTCTGTTTTCGAATGACTGACAGTAACCTTCTGTTCACTTCAGACCGATTGAGCGACCATTATTTACCCACGCTCACTCTTTCTTTTGCCAGTATATTGGTTATGTATGGTGTAACATTATTTTGTCAGTCGGCCCATTTAGCACAAACCTTTTGTTTTGTAGTATTGAATTCCATACATTCTAATTTCTTTTGCTGCTTTTGCACCACAGGTAGCTATATATGTATGAAAACATACATGCTTATACACTATGATATGTATATATAATGTAAATATATATAATTCAGTGCCTCTCAATTGGAGAAACATTGGATTTCATGTAGATTTACCATTTTTTGGTTTTTAACTGTACAGTTCATGGAATTTGTGATACTGTGTAGAGTACCAGAAGTTTTGTGATAAAACTTGTTCTTAGTCTGTACTTTCCGCTGTAGTCCATCTGTAAATACCGTATTGTTTTAGCACTCATTTTAACATCTTGTGCTGCTCTGTATATAAGCACTCTTTGTCTGTACCTGCTTGTCTGTTCAAACCTGTAAATACAGAAAGATTTTCTAAGAACAACCTGGATGGATTGGAGTCCTCTGTTATTTTCAGGCTCTTGTGGGTCCATGTGAGACTGCACAGAGCTGAGCTGCCAGTATATTTAGATTTTACTGATTACTTTGAAGGTTCTTCATGGTCTCTTCCCTTGCTACATCTTAGACCTTTATAACACCGTACCCGGCTCATACTGTGAGATCCTCGTGCAGAGGTCTTTTGTTTGTTCCAGAGGCCCGGCTGAAAGGGGACAATCTGCCCGAGGCAAACGGGTCAGCTGAGTGAGTGATCTCTTTCCCTTCTTCAAATATATTTTTATCAGACAGCCTATCCTAATTTTACGCAAATTAAAATTTTGGAAGAATCTTCTACTTCCTAGATGTTTTTCTTGTTTTACATTGATGATTTTATAACTGGTCTTATTCTTTGTGAAGCACTTTGAAATGTTGCTTTTAAAAGTGCTCTATACTTAAAGATCATTGTTATTATTATAATTACATACACGATATACAAAGTGTTTTCTTGTTTTTGTCTTGAAATGGGTAATCTAGAAAATCTTATTTCAGTTTTTAATATAATTTGGTTTTGTGTAGGTTCTCCGCTAACATTTAAGTTTTATTCATGTGATTGTCTATTAGCATGTTAGTATTAAAGTTCCAGATCTTTAAATGGAGTTGGTCTGTGGAGGTGCAGACACTACAGTGAAGAGGTTTCACCGAAATGAAATGAGATTTCTGAGTTTGAACAACATTTGGGATAATGAAAGTACACAACTCAACTACATATAGAACATAGAGCTAGAGTTTATTGACCATTTAATGCAGTATTGTTACACTTTATAGCTTTAAGCTTTATTCATTTCCAGCCATTTTAAAATTTTATGTGAAGAAGTGCAGGTCTGCAACTGCAGGTGGTGCTGCTTTCCTGTTGGATGGAGGAGGAGGAGAGGAGGGGGAGGGGAAGAGGAAGAGGAGGAGGACAGGAGGGGGAGGGGAAGAGAGGGGGAGGAGGGGGAAGATTTGATTTAACACAAAGCTGTAACCTTATGACGGAGTGCACACTGTCATGCCCAGGCAGGAAATGGGTGTGTTTATTTAATGTGGGAGTCTGAACACACAATCTTTGCTCTGACTTTGTCAGTGCAGCCAGTCTGGGAGTGCGAGCAGCCGAGGCTTGAGCAATGTCTACCCTTCTGCTGGTCGTGGGTGTTGTTGTAGGAGTTGCTTACATTTACCATCATGTTGTGGTGAAGGGAGCACGGTGCACGAGCAAAGCAAAGCTGCATGGGAAGACTGTGATTGTGACCGGTGAGTAAAGGCTCTGCTATGTAGAGTGCTGTGTCATGACAGAAGTCACGTCCACTGACCTTTTCCTCTGTAGTGATTGGACGTGTGCACTACATTCAACATATTGTGCATTTAGAAGCAGCTCAGAGCACTCTGGCTTATCTCTGCAACTGGAACTGCATGAAAACAAGACTGTAAGGAAACAGGATTAGGAAGTACAAAAATACAGTGCAGTAGTAGTTCGGGCCAGAGCAAAGTAATCAGGTCAGTTTCAAAACAATCAGACCCTTATATGAAGGAAAAGCTGATATGATGGTTGGTTTTTTATTTACATATCAAGAGAATTTGTCAAAGATTCTTTTTTTCATCATCTCCTTTTAAAAGAAATCCTCAAATATTGTACTAATAATGCATTCCTTCCCTGCTGTTTAAATGACTGCACTGATTGTTCATTGGATTCAGAGCTGTATACAGTATATCCGGACTGATGTGTGGCTGTGGAGGGCGTCCAGCTTGCTAGCAGCTAGGACAGTTCACTTTCACTTGATGCAGGTCCAAATCCAGTATCTGTTTAGATCTTTCTTTTAATAAAATAACTTATCTAATACTATATTCAGAATGGACAAGGTGGATAAAATGAAAATAAGGAACATGAGCACATAGGAGGTAAAAGAAAAAAATGAAAACAGTAAAAATAAAAAGATATATCAAATATTTCCAAAAGTTTTCCCCCCAAAAAGTTTTAAAAATAGATTGAAAAGATGCTATAGAGAATTAGGGACTTCCAGGGTGGGCTCTAACAGCAAAAGCCATCACCCTGTGTCACACACCCTGACCTCGGAGCAACCAGCAGGGCTCCGTCTGCAGTGGTCGAGGGAGCACATAAAATAAAACATACAGGAACAAGGCTCTTTCAGGATTTAAAATATATGACAAACAAGTTAGTCCTGGGAACTATCTTACATTATTTAAGCCGAGTTCTTTAAGCCAAAGTCTTATTTTGTTTAAAACGAGATTTTAGCTCATTTAAGGCAAAATCAACATCCATGGGGTTAGAAGCTCACCTGGTAGACCTGGCGCCCCATGCACAGGGATCAGTCCCTTTGCTGTGTGTCACCTCCTCACTCTATCTCAGTCTTTCCTGTCACTCTTCATCTGTCACGGCCCAGTTATATTTACGGTAATTCTTTTCATAATCTGATTCAACCCACAACCATTAAGAATGTAAAGAGATATCACAGGACGGTTAAACTGCGATACAAATATATGTGAAGATTCAAATCAGTGAGATAAAAATCGATCAATCTTGGTATTAACGCGTCAGTTTCACTTCACAAAAGGAAATATACATTGTTTTAAAGAGTTAATAACCCACCTCAGAAATAAAAAAGATTCTATAATTTGATTAAAGACACTATGAGAAAATATATTTTGTCGTTCTATGGAGAGCTCCACTTGATCCCCACAGCTCTCAGTAGAAGGTGAACATGGATGTGAACTGTTAGCTGACTGTTTGCAATGCACACTCAGGTGTATCTGGTTAGAAGCTAAAGTTAGCCGTTCTCTGTAATGTTAAGGAGCTAAGCTAGATAAGGTTAGTGCTAATTAGAAGCAACAGGAGTGAGGAGTATTTTAGCTTATATCTAGATAAACTAGATTTCGTAAAAGAGAGTATTTTTTAATGCAGCAGTGTATTATTCTGGACTAGCTATGACATCACAGCAAGGTGATTGGTCAGGTGCAATGATGCAACATGGCAGTATCAGGGAGCCCGGCTGATACCCGAGGAAAGTGTGTTCAATAATCAAATTGAGAATAAATAATAGCACATACAACTTTTTGTAGATCAGCAATTAATAAACTGACCAAATGTAATAATTGTTTTGAGCTTGAAGAAACATGACCATAGACAGTTCTTACTTGACTTGTCTCTGACCTCCAGGCAGCAACACTGGCATTGGGAAGACTACAGCCATAGATCTGGCTAAAAGAGGAGCCAGAGTGATTCTGGCCTGTCGCAGTACGCAGAGAGGAGAGGCTGCCCTTGAGGAAGTCAAGAGGGTGAGCAGAAATCTGTCATGCTGTCATTTCTGCCATTCCAAAGCAAGATAAGGTTCTCTGTCCTTAGAGTCTGTGTAATGTCGTGCAACAAAAAGTAATCTCCTCCTACCTGGAGGCATTCTGCTTATTATAGCGCCACCTGCTGGTGGACATGTGCACAGGTTTATACCTCTGAGAATTTCATGTCTTTGGCTCTTACTGTCTAGGCTGCAGTACATGCACTGGCCCCCAGGACTGGCCCCCAGGACTTGGACACTTAAAAACTGATTTTTGACTGGGAGGGGGCTTTAAAATGTCACAATGAGGATGTCAAAAGGTTATTTGTTAGCATAAATGTACCCCTGTCAGGCTCAGGCTGGAGAAGTAGATCACTCTGTATACTGGTCCACCCTAAAAACACTTTTGCCAGACATATGTGACATTAGTAACAAACATGTTTCCCAAACTTTCCCAGTGCTTCTTTACTTCATGTTGACCTCCTCATTCAGTGGAAACACTGCTCAATGTGTCCCGCAGGAGAGTGGCAGTAATCAGGTGGTGTTCATGCAGTTAGATCTGGGGAGTCTCAAGTCGGTCCGCAGCTTTGCTGAAAACTTCCTGAAATCTGAACCCAGACTGGACATCCTCATCAACAACGCAGGTTAGAATGTGTCATTGCAGCTTAATGTTGCATAATTTAAGTATCAAGCAACCCTTGTTTAGATGTTGCCTGTTGCCACTGCTCAGTTAAAATTGTATTGAAACAACTTCAAAGTTTAGTGCAGAAGCAGTTGTAGATGTTTCAGCTTTGTGTGAGACACGGTTCGACTCAGTAGTATCCAGTTATAAAGATATGAAAATATGAAATGTTAAAGTGACAATTCACCCCAAAATGTTTTTGGAGATATCATTGTTAGTGGTCTGCCTTCTCTCCAATATAATGGATCCAGATGGCACTTGTGGTGCACAAAACGCCAAATACATTTGAAAAACTCAACAGCAATGTCTCTTTCCAGAAATAATGAGGAACTATTTTCCTTCATGAAACTGCTGGATAGAAATGGGTCACAGTCAGTGCAGCAAATACATAATGCATACATATACTGTAGATGATGACTGTATAGATATGCAAGTTCTGGAATTAAGATTATGATGCCTTATTTTGTGACTCTGAGTGTCAAGGAACCATTAAGCTCTCCCACACATGTTAGATGGTGTTAAGCCATGCTTGTTTTGATGTTGTCTGCAAACAGGATTAAGGCTTCTCCATGTTTTTGTCACAGGCGTATACCTGCAGGGTCGGACAGAGGATGGACTGGGGATGATGTTTGGCGTCAACCACATCGGTCACTTCCTGCTAACCAACCTGTTGCTGGACCGGCTGAAGGAGTGCGAACCGAGCAGGGTGGTGAACGTGTCATCCATGGCACATAACTTTGGAAAAATCGATTTCGACTGCCTGAACACACACAAAGCTCTGGGGCTGGGCACCTCGTTCATGGAGGTTCTCCAGGTCTACTCCCATAGCAAGCTGTGCAATGTCCTCTTCACCCATGAGCTGGCCAACAGACTGCAGGGAACTAAGGTCACCTGCTACAGCCTCCATCCAGGTCAGTGTGTGTCCCCCAGTATTTGTCTCACACAAACATATTGCTAGTAAGGTCTTAAAACTTAAATTAGAGTACACTGGTTCCTTAAAATGGGGTACAACAAGGGTGTGTGAGGGAATTAAAAGCATTTCAATGCAAACTGAGGACAACTGGTGAGGACAGGGACAGCAATCCCACCACCACTTTGGTCCAGACTCAATTATCTTGACAAATATTGAATGGATGGCTACAGTGTTGGCGGTGGGGCTCTATTCATCCCTATGAAAGCTGCTCAGTGGGCCCTGAAGGTGCCTGACTCCTGCATTGTGGAGCCCACAGAGGAAGCGCACTAGAGACTTCTGCTAACTTCCCGTTTAGCCCTCTGCTATCTTGAATGGGGATGCAATTATTTAATCATGCAACAAATTTTTTTAAATATGGTGCAGTGCATAGCTATCAATGTGTTGTTGTTTTTTTTCAGAAGCAGCTAAAGATCTGTCAACTAAAACCTCTTTATTTTCTGTTTTTGCAGGAGCTATCAACTCTGAGCTGGCGAGGAACGCTAGCTCAGTGATGCTAATGCTCCTGAAGCCTGTGACTGTTTTTTTCTTCAAAAACACAGTCCAGGGAGCCCAGACCACCCTGCACTGCGCCCTCCAGGAGGGGATCGAACCTCTCAGCGGGCGCTACTTCTCCAACTGCACTGTGAGAGAGGTCTATGCCAAAGCCAAGGACGACGCCGCAGCAAAGAAGCTGTGGGAGCTCAGTGAGAGACTGTGTGGTCTCGCATAGAAAGTTTTCCATCTAACTCCTCATATTGGGTTGTCGACAGCCATGTTTCCATCAACATACAGATTTTTTCATATGGATTTTGAAGTGTCGCATTTGAAAGGGTTGATAGAAATGGCAAAATTTAACATAAATTCCTAAATTGTGCAATAAAGTTTTTACACTCGATTGAGGTGGGTTTTGCTCGATTGAAAAATGCACTTCACAAGCATTTAACTCACATGAAACATGCTGACATGATATAATTAATACATTATTATTATTACAGCATATTACAAAAACTTTCCATTCCATGTCTCTTTTATTAGGTTTGTTGGCGGTCAGCAAACAACTTGTTTTCCTGTTCGCCACATTTACGCCTACTATTACAGCCATTACAGAAAAAACTGCGTTGTAGTGTTGTTTATTTACTCCAAACCAATTGGTGGAAATGCACCTCTTTTTCTTTATTTCAATTTATTTCTTCTTTTTTGCAACATTTCAAAAGGTTGCTTCGAATTTGCTTGACAATAGACCCTCACGGCAGATATTCTGACTAGACATGCACCAGTCAATCAGCCGGTCAACGGAATCGACCGGTTTTCAGCTTGATTGGCCATGACCGTGCTGGTCAAATTTCCACACGTGCATGTGCAAAGTGGCACCGACATTAACCGACTATTGCCACCGCCACACACTGTATAAAACACACAGCTGATACTGAAAGTCAACGGTGCAGACCCATGCTGGGAGAGGACAGAAAGAGGCAAGCTGATGTGAGTGCAGACAGGTGTAGGTGTGTGTGTGTAAAAGGTAAAAGCATGGTGAGCACATTAAAGTGGTTTGAGAGTAAACTCTAAAAACACAAATATACAAAATGGTACATACACTGCCCGTCCAAAAAAAACTAATATCGTTGGACCGCCTTTAGCTTTGAGTACGGCACGCATTCGCTAGGGCATCATTTCGATAAGCTTCTACAATGTCACAAGATCTTGTATTGATGATGGGAGAGTTGCGCCACTGTGCAGTCTTCTCCAACATTACCCAAAGATTCTCAATGGGGCTGAAGTCTGGACTCTGTGGTGGCCAATCCATGTGTGAAAAGGATGCCTCATGCTCCCTGGACCACTCATTCACAATGTGAGCCCGATGAATCCTGCCATTGTCATCTTGGAATATGCCCGTGCCATCAGGGAGAAAAAACTCCATAGATGGAAAGACCTGGTCATTCAGTATATTCAGGTAGTCAGCTGACCTCGTTCTTTGGGGACATAACGTTGCTGAACCTAGACCTGACCAACTGCAGCAACCCCAGATCATAACACTGCCCCCACAGGCTTGTATGGTAGGCACTAGGCATGATGGGTGCATCACTTCATCCACCTCTCTTCTTACCCTGATGCGCCCGTCACTCTGGAACAGGGTAAATCTGGATTCAGCAATCTCCTTAGTTGTTTTCTTTGCTTGATGCAGGCCAATAATTTGACCCTTCTGAAACTGATTGACATCCTTTCCACGACCACAGGAAATGTCTTCCGACGTTGTTTAAGAAATGAGAAGCTACTCACTGCATCAGCTAGGGTTAAATAACTTGTTGCCAGCTGAAACATATTTATTACTGCAGTATTTATCTAATGGAAGGCTCTTACCAATTTGTTTAGTTAAATCTAGGTGGTGACTTTTTTTTGGGACGGGCAGTGTAGTTCTGATAAATCAAATCAGAATCATTCAAGAAAAGTGCAATCTGCATCTCTAATTCTGACTAGTCAAAGCAGGAAAAGCACAGGTGTACCAGAGCCCTGGAACTGCCTCACCTAAATGGAATGCAGCCATTATTGATGTAAATTCTACCAGTGCTTTTCTTCCTTTAAGAACTCAAAATGTCTTCTATGAAAAGGGTCTATTGAAGATATCTTTAAACTCAACTTTATTTATATAGCACCTGTCATACAAACATGCAGCCCAAAGTGCTTCACATAGCAAATTAAAACACAAAGACAATATAAACATCTACAGATAAAGTTGTGCAATAAATACAATAAAATGTCACAGCATAAAAATAACAATAAAATAAATAAAAAACAAGGATTAAAAACAAACATTACTCCCAAATAAGATTTGTTTCCCCCTTTTATTATTCCTTTTTAATTTCCTTTTTAAAAACAGAGCTCGCCGTTCTAATATCCAGAGGCAATGAGTTCCACAGTTTAGGGGCATACAAACAGAATGCACTCCCACCAGTACTTTTATAGGACACAGAAGGAACATTTAAAAGTCAAGTAGTGGAGGACCTCAGTCATATCTGGCTGGAACACAAAATGAATAAAGTCTCTGATGTAAAGGCACCTGACGCATTTGAGTTTGGCAAGCCCTTCACTGCCACACCATTCCTGTTCTAATATTAAAAAGAGCCAGGCTGACTACACTATCTTGGAGTAGTTTCTACTGCACTGTTTAAATGGATTATTGTATATATTGTATGAATATAATAATTTATTAATAATATTAATACCCAGTATAAATAAGTTACTATTAGTGCATGAGAATTTCTTTACAGGCACTGACTGGTTCCTACATTAACATACCTTACACTGGTTCTTTGACATGAAGATTTTCTGGTTTCGCTGGTTTTACAGTGGGTGGGGTGTGCTGGAAAAAGGTGATGGCAGGTTTTTCACCAGTATTATTTAATGCATTCACAAGTGAGCTAAAACCAAATACATAAGAAAGGCTAAATGGAGAAAATAGTTTGTCAAATATCACCGTAATCATTTGGGCATGATTATGTCAGCATACAGTATCTGATAATAATCACTTACACATATATCAGTATGAGCCTTATTTTACGTATGTTCCATGATGATAGAGGTACAGCTTGAGCTGGAAATCAGTCATCATAAGACGCCAAATAATAGGACCATTCGAGCTATATACAGTATAATACGAATTATAGAGCAACCTGTTCTGGGCTCTCTTCTGTTTTCTGTTCAAAACCATGGATGTGTCTCACATTGGTCCTGAATGTTTCAGCTGATAGATAAGCATTGTATTCAAAGCTGGATTAGCAGGAACCTGCTCCAGGGCCTCAGGTTCACTGTGTTGGACTCTGCACCACTAAAGCAGGATATAAATTAAGGCAGGTCCTGGATTATTGCAGAATAGTAGTGCTGGCTGTGTTTAGTGTTTCTGGGTATAACAGAATGGGAGGGAAGGGAACTTGGACATAACAGAGGACAGTGTATTGACTGTGGGAGTTGGCAATAAATAAATGATAATAAATAAATCATGAGGGGTATTAAATAATGAAAATGATTTGGGGCACTGAGCAGGTTACTAGTTCAACAACATCAGGACACTGATGACCACTGACATCATTCACATGTTATTTTATGCAACTTTTGGGGACAATACAAAGACTTCATATTCACAGATTCATTTCCTAGACACTTACCTTAACCATAACCATAACCACTACTTGCCCAAACCTAACCTTAACCTCTGACCCAGAAACCAGCCTTTTCAGAGGAACAAGACAGGACCAAAGACATGTCCCCAGTTTGGACAAGTTCCTCTGTCCTTTATCTGAAATGTATCCCTGATGGCTGCCTTAGTCAGACTCATGGTAGCACATGATAATGATGTAACAGCATGTCTCCCTGGAGGTAAGTAGACAGCAGTATGAAAACAAAGGTCCCATTTTTACTTCTATTTTTAAAAAGAGCTTACAAAATACTTCAGCTAATGAAATTAAAAACAGACACGGATTTAGGCACGCTTATTTGCAGGCACTGACACCAGACAGTACTGTCATCATCGCTCACTAAGGGACAAACAAATTAACTTGAACCCGCAATCAGTGTTGAGACACAGCACTTTTCTTTTTCTGTAAATATTTTATTCAGCTTTTTCAAAGCCAAACATACAAACACAAACCATATATACTGCCTAAAATGTGAGCAAGTGTGCATCTACCAGTTTCCACCAATAATATCATGGCATCCCCCCATCAATCGATCTTCAGCTTTTGACGACACAGAGCTCAGATTCATTAGTTATGCTGTAACATGGCTTTCCTTTATGTGTCTGGGTGCTGGGCCTCACTGATTTCTCTACAAAAACACAACCTTATCAGTGATTTGGGTGAAACTGGATCATATTTTATGGAGAAACACTGCTGCTGTAGCTATCGTTAGTGTGCATAATCTACATGAAGTCTTCAAGCAGGAATGGATTGTGGTTCAGATACGGCCCCTCCTTTCACGGTCACTCCACTCCTCACCTCATCAGATAACAGACCAGTTGAACTTGATGGTTGTGTCACCAGACTTTGCAGCTTCCATCAGTGCAGTGTTGGTGAAGCACGTTGGTCCTACGTTGTGTAATATTGTTATTGCATAACTGTCAGTAGGTTCTAAGAGCTTCTGGAATACTGTACAGATGTCATCCTCTAAATACACTGGGCTTGTGTAATGAATTAATTAATACATGATTCATTAAAACATGTCCTTTAAAGGAAGGCAAAAACTTAAAAATAAGCTCTCTGTAGACATCAATATTACCTTTCTTGTACTGGCCAGAAACAACGAGTTTATTTAATGATCCTGTCTCATCTACACCAAAATCCTTAAATGTTTTATATCATAGCACCTTTTATATATATCATATTATACAGGATTAAAATAGCTGTGCCAGCATAGCACAGCAGCCATATACTGTATTCATTTTTCATAAAGCCCTATTGGGAACATTGCTTTATATTTAACATGACTTCTACTTCTACAAATCAAAACAATTATTTTAACACTGGCTCCCTTTTACCTTCTGTTTCAATTGTATTAATGAAACTAAAGTATTATATAATTTAGTTTACAGCTCAAACAAGTTCCTCTTTACCTCTGCCTTTATTAGCACTAGGAGGAGCCAGAGGAATGCGTATGTCCTCTGCTCACATAACCTCTTTCAGATGCTGTAGTGTGCTCAGCCTTTGGCACCTTTACTTTGGACACTGGAATATGTGGCCCAAACTATTAGAATATCACTCAATTTGGCAAGATAGTCCTAAAATATATAGAAAGGCCCTCCATAATACCAGAGCAGCCTATTATTCAGCACTAATAAAAGAAAATAAGAACAACCCTAGGTTCCTCTTCAGCACTGTAGCCAGGCTGACAGAGAGTCACAGCTCTATTGAGCCACATATCCCCATAAACATAAGTACCAATGACTTTATGAGCTTCTTTTATGATAAAATGATTGCTATTAGGGACAGAATTAATCACCAAATGCCCTCAACAGGTATCGTTGTCTCTCAAAATACAGGAATCAGATAAGATATACACTTAAGACTGTTTTTCTGCTATTGGGCTGCATCAACTAACTTCAGTCATTTCTACATCGAAGCCATCAACCTGTCTTAGACCCCATCCCAACTAGGCTGCCCAAGGAAGTCTTACCCCTAGTTGGCACTTCTTGACTGAATATGATCAATCTTTCTTTATTATCAGGATATGTACCACAGTCCTTTAAAGTAGCTGTAATTAAACCCCTTCTTAAAAAGCCCACTCTTGACCCAGGGGTTTTAGCCAACTATAGACCGATTTCTAACCTCCCCTTCCTCTCTAAGATTCTGGAGAAAGTAGTCGCCAAAGAGTTGTGTGACTTTTTACATAACAATAGTTTATTTGAGGATTTTCAGTCAGGATTTAGAGTTCATCACAGCACAGAGACAGCTCTGGTTAAAGTTAATAATGACCTTCTGATTGCTTCTGACAATGGACTTGTCTCTGTACTTGTATTATTAGATCTTAGTGCTGCATTTGACACCATTGACCATGATATTCTTTTACAGAGACTTGAGCATCAAATTGGCATTAAAGCAACCGCACTAAGCTGGTTTAAGTCATATTTATCAGATAGTTCTCAGATTGTACATGTTAACGATGAATCCGCCATAAACACTAAAGTTAATCATGGAGTTCCACAAGGTTCTGTGCTTGGACCAATTCTATTCACTTTATATATGTTTCCCTTGGGCAACATTATCAGGAATCACGCCATTAACTTTCACTGTTACGCAGATGACACTCAGTTATATCTATCTATCAAGCCCGATGAAATAAATCAGTTATCTAAATTACAAGCCTGTCTTACGGACATAAAAACCTGGATGAGCTGCAATTTTCTAATGCTAAACTCAAGTTCTTTTACTTGGCCCCAAACACCTCCGAGACTCACTGTCTAAAGATATAGTTACTCTAGATGGCATTAACTTGGCCTCCAGCACCACTGTCAGGAATCTTGGAGTTATCTTTGATCAGGATTTGTCATTTAACTCCCACATAAAGCAGACCTCTCGGACTGATTTTTTTAATTTACGGAACATTACAAAAATTAGACACATCCTGTCACAGACGGATGCAGAAAAACTAATCGTTGCATCTGTTACTTTTAGGCTGGATTACTGCAACTCCTTATTGTCAGGCTGCCCCAATAAGTCTGTCCGAGGTTTCTGCCTCTTAAAGGGACATTGTGTAGTGTTTTAAGTATTTTATTAGCTAAAATCAATGTCTACGTTCATAAATGTGTCCTCATTGGTGTAAAATTACCTCTGCCAATGATCTGACTTATCCTCGTAAGCGAAGAATTTCTTATCTGTATATACATTGGACCATGGAGGCTTCCATGTCGTTCCGCCATTTTGAAAAACTATAATCGCAGAGAGGGACATAAAGCACTGGCTTACCTGTCTTGCTAATCCACAACGCATTTTCGTTGAAGCATCTTTTCTTTGATCACCCTTGGATTTAAAGTATCTTTGCTTTGAAAATTCTTATCTATATCATGTTCTATTTACTTACTGTGCTTGTGTAACTATGGCGGGAGGGATGGGGAACGCTCAAAGGTTTTTATTATGGTGCATCATTTATTCAACAGTTTTTGGGTTGAGCCGGTTTCTTTTCTTGCTCACAATTTCTTCACATTTGCAGTTCAAATTCAAAACTGTCTCAACCTGTCACCTGTCAGAATCCAGACGAGGCAGTGCCAGTGAATCGCCTGATTGGACCGCAAACCAGTCAGGTGATTCATTCAGGCAATGAAGTGGCCTATGTCACGTGATTTTTTCAGCACCAAAGCAAGCTTTGAAGCAGTGGTTCAATGTAATTGTAGTTCAGGGTTTGAAGCACATATCGAAGCTTCAGTGTCGCACTGCCATCACTAGAGAGCACTATTCGTTTGAATGCAAAATACAATTTCACCGCTAGATGGGAGAAATTCCTACACAATGTCCCTTTAACAGGCAGTTTTTCCTTGCCGCTGTCGCCAAGTGCTTGCTCATGGTGGTACTGTTGGGTCTCTGTAAATAATGTTATAAAGAGTACGGTATCGACCTGCTCTATTTGAAAAGTGTCCTGAGATAACTTCTGTTATGAATTGGCGCTATACAAATAAAATTGAATGGAATTGAAACCATTCACGATTTACTTATTCAAATTTGGCAGTGTGGTTAATAACACGTTTTTCTTTGTTAGGGACTTTTTACACTTCTGGTTGTTTTGATCTTCAAAAAAAAATCTTGCTCCTCATGGTTTTATTTTGCTTCTTATCTATGTCTGAAGATTGAGATTTACAGTTTTCAGTCTATTTTTATGTATCTATATGTTTTCATTTTCATAAATTCCCCATATTTCGAATGTTGTATTTAATGTCTACTCTCCACATGTTCCTGTATCTTTGTTTTAGTGTATGATAACCTGCCTAAGGAATAACTGATCCAGTTCTATACTGCAATCATTCAGTCTGTTCTCTGTTCATCCTCCACTGTCGGGACAGTCAGGACTGCAGAGAGGATCATTGGGGCCAACCTGTCCTCCATTCAGGACCTTTACCTGTCCAGAGTCAGGAAACGGGCAGGAAACATCACTGCAGATCCATCTGACCCTGGACACAACCTGTTCCAACTCCTCCCCTCTGGGAGGCGCTACAGAGCACTGAGAGCCACAGGAACAGTTTCTACCCATATCCACCTACCCCATATACTTAAAGATACCTGCACGTAAAATATTTATTTCAGCATCCTTTGCACTCCGCACCATTGCTCTATTGTCTACTGACTGTATAATGAAACTAACGCAAACCCCGGAAGCCTAACCGGATGTTGTTTAAAGTGTGTGAGTTGGATTGTTCTTCAAAGTAAATCATTTATGCTACTAGTGAAATTAAAATATCATTTTGAATTATAGGATTTTGCCACCTTTGTTAAAAACGACCTGTGTTGGCATATAGTTTAACATAATCTCGGTACCTCCATGCTCTACAAACAGTAACACAGATGTTGTTCGTCCACAAAGAATTTATTTTGAAAGTCTTAACCGGAATAATCCGTTAACTTCGGGTACGTTGACAGACCGCCGTTGTCGTTCAGTGCGGTGATGTCGGCGTTGCTTTGCCTTATAGCTGGGGTGGTTTCCTGTTATGTCATAGTGTACTACTGTGTGATCAGAGGAGCGAGCTGCTCGAGCTCAGTGAAGCTGAAGGGGAGGACGGCCATTGTTACAGGTAACGAGCCGCACCTGTTAGCCAGCGGAGCTTCTTCATGTGAACAGCAGGAGCGGCTCTGCTTTCTCAAACACTTCCCCGGATGTTATGAGGCAAAGCCGAACTCAGTCACTGCTACACCAACAAAGTAGTACTTCCCCCTTACCCATAGAGCACTGCAGTTTCACCCTTCTAAAGCATTGACAGTATGTGCTAAAGACCCAATTAAAGCTGCAGTATGTAACTTTTAGAAATCGAACTTTTTTGTCAATATTACTGAAATGTTGTTGTGTTGTGACAGTAGCACATGAGACAGATCATTTGTGAAAAAATCAGGTTCCTCTGGCTTGTTCTAACCCTCCTAATGGCGTTTGAAAGAATCCCCCGGGCCTGAACAAAAACAACCAATCAGGACCGAGAAAGACATTAAGACATTTTGGCGAGAAGGAAGTGAGGTGGCTCCCTCACTCCTGAGCTACTTCTATCATCAGCTCCGGAAAAACGATGTGTTTCATTCTTATTTACGTCTCGCCTGATTGGGCAAGTGACTTGCTAGTGACTCACATTTTACTTGCCCCGGACAAGTGGCCACTAAAATAATGTGCTTTTAATACAAGGTTCTCAAACTGCGTGCCAGAGGGGCATTTCCAGCCCTCCGTCCTACCTTCGGTCTTTTTTAAAATTCGATTCTATTTAAAAAAATGTATTCAAAAGAATATAAAATACGGAAAAAAGTCAAAGGTGCCTGCAAATGCGTCCAAAGTGTTGATAAGAGGAGAACGGGTTTCAGGCCTTCATTTGTTGTTTGGCTGCATAATGGAAACATTCTCACAATATTGAGCTTTCTTGTCGTACTTGAATATTGAAGTGGCCCTCCTATGAGATGACAATACTAGCAGTGGCCCCAAGCCAGTTTGAGTTTAGAGACCCCTGTTTTTAAAATGGACTGTGTTTTGAAAAGACATGCTGTTTGATTTGTTTGTATTATTACTCCAATCTTTAGTTTAACAACCTTTGTATTTGCAGGCAACATTACATTGACCGGAGCTCGATTGACAGTTTGGTATCATTGAGATCATCACCGCTCCTTTTGATGACTTTTATTCCTGCACAGGAAGCAACACTGGCATTGGCAAGACCACAGCTCTGGATCTGGCAAAGAGAGGAGCCAGGGTGATCCTGGCCTGCCGCAACAAGGAGAAAGCCGAGGCTGCTGCTTTTGACATCCGCAGAGTGAGTACAATGAGAGCTAGAGAGGCTACCTTCATTGATATAAATGGGGTGGTCATAATAATAGAAGAAAACACTCATTAAAACCCAATACAGTTCAACAGCACCACAGACTGCAGCCTCCAAAATGATCATGCAGTTCAATCAACAGATCTCTAAAACAGTTTAATCAAAAACAAGCATTATTAACCCAAAGAGACTCTTCCCAAAGGCCTTTGCACATCAAGCCCTAAACGTTTCTAAATGTTTTTTTAAGCCATCATCCGATTTAAAATCAGTACTCATAGGATCCTTGCACAGAATCAGTTTTATTCTTCTATTCATTGTGAAATTCACAATACAAGATGGAGTTATCGCGCAATCAGGATGACTTCATGGTTCTCTCCCTTTGAAAGTAGAAAAAGTAATTGGGTCCAAGGTGTCAAGAACAAGCAGTTTCACCTGCTGATAAAGGAGCTGTCTGCTCGCTGCTCCCTTTCTCCCTTTCTCTCTCTCTCCTGCCCGCATCTTGCAGCAGTGCTGCTGCTGCATGAGGCTGAGTTCATTTTTAGTGCAAGGCCACTTTGACCTTTGATAAAACTTATTGGGACGGCCAAAATGTAGGACGCATAAAAAAAAAACCTCCAGCAGTAAAATGCAACATCCACACTAATGCAGAAGCAATATGAATCCAATATATCATATATAATAGCACTGACAGGGACCATTTTAATTCAATTCAATTCAATTCAATTTTATTTGTATAGCGCCAATTCATAACAGAAGTTATCTCAGGGCACTTCTCAAATAGAGCAGGTCTAGACCGAACTCTTTATAACATTAATTAATTACATTTTACTGCACAATGACAACTTTAAGTACATTTTGCTTAATGCTACTTTTACCTTAGTAAGGTTCAGATTGCAGAACTTTGTTGTGGAGTATTATTATTACTATACCACAGTGGGGTTGGCACTTTTACTTAATGGACCTGAATACTTCCTCCACTTCTGATTAGCACACCCACAGCCTAACTGCACCTGTGTGCATCTACGGCACTGGTATTTGGCTGTGGTATTATTCCTGCTCAGGGTTATATATATGTATATGTCACTTTTATCTGGTTGTCTTTTCAACATAGATTAGCCTAGCACATAGCATATCTAAGTACAGGAAAGGAGGAAGTTCACTGAGGTGTCTCAACTGTTATTGGAGCACAGACCAAAAGGGGTGGGGCTTAGGAAGGGTCTATTAAACCTGCCTATGGCCTCTGCACAGCTGAGATAATGTGATGTGATGAAGTTGCTGTGATTATCAGGATGTGCAAATGACCTGAGCCTTCAGGTGACAGCGTCCACACTGTCATCCAGACTGCAGGAAACAGTGTTTTCAATATTCTCACATGTATTTTCAAATGCAGAAAAATCTGCAATTTCTTTCTCATCGGTATAGTTCAGTTCTGGTGTCACAGCCCACTCACCCAGCATTAATGTCCTTCAGGAGAGTGGGAACAATCAGGTGGTGTTCATGCAGCTGGATCTGGCCAGTTTCAAGTCTGTTCGCAGCTTTGCTGAAAACTTCCTGAAGACTGAACCCAGACTGGATATCCTCATCAACAACGCAGGTGGGGATGTGAACACAGTGCAGTATCCCTTTCCATGGAACATTATTTGTTGATTTTACAGTACAGTTTAAGTACTGTACCACTACAGTAAAATGGAAGTACCCTAACCAAGTGAACCACTTGTACTTCAGGTGTAATGGGTCCAGGACGTACTGAGGACGGTTTCGGCTTGGCGTTCGGGGTAAACCACCTGGGTCACTTCCTGCTCACCAACCTGCTCCTGGAGCGACTGCAGCAGTGCGGTCCCAGTCGAGTGGTCAACGTGGCCGCGCTTCTGCACCGCTGTGGCACCATCGACTTCCCCTTACTGGCTTCCAAAAAGGATTTGGTGTCTGGTCAGTCTGCCTGGCACAACTTCCGAGCCTACTGTAACAGCAAGCTGTGTAATGTGCTCTTCACCAGGGAGCTGGCCAACAGGCTGGAGGGCACCAGTGTCACCTGCTACAGCCTCCACCCAGGTCAGTGCCCTCAGCACACTTCATATAGGAGTCTCGTGTGAGGTAACATTTCCTCTGGCAGCTATTTGGAAAGTCGCAACCAAGCTGGAAAGCCTTTTCAGTTTCACTCGCTCCTGCTTCTGAAAGTTGTTTTTTCTTGAGTCATTTTCAGACTTGGATTAGGGAACATTGTTAGTTTCTGTTAAAGTGATGATTGTGGATTTTTAAACTGTAGTTGAAGCACGAGGGATGCTCGCCCCCTTGTATCTCTCATCAATTTCGCCATTTACTAGTTTTTTTATAACATTTATTTGATTCTACTGCCTATTTCAGAAAGTCAGACTGTGCGCAGACATATAGTTGCTGGATATTCACATTTTCATCCAAATTAAGATTAGAAGTAATAGTCTGTAAATAATCACACAAAGAATTTGGGATAAAGAAAAGAGAAAAAAAAACAGATAACAAAAAAATGACAACTGCTTCCAAGAAAAGAGTACAGGAATAAAACAATGAGACTTAGCAGAGAGATGTTAAAAGGTGTAGGGTTGCAGACACTGCCACACACTTCTAGTGGGCCATAAGTAATGATTGAGAGGGATTATGTTTGTTTGAGTCTAGAGATTGTTGTTTTAAGGAAACTTCTTGTATTCTTGTTGTATTCCTTCAGTAAAATATTCTTTAACATGTCAAATACATTACACATACACCGATCAGCCATAACATCATGAGCACTGACAGGAAATACACTGATTATCTGGTTATCATGGCTCCTGTCAGTGGGTGGGATATATCAGGCAGCAAGTGAACATTTTGTCCTCAAAGTTGATGTGTTAGAAGCATATATGAACACCGAGAAAATAAAGAATAAATAAATATAAACATAAGCACTGTATGTTCAGTACCAGTCAATAGTTTGCCATTTAAATAAAGAATAAATAAAAATAGTAACAACAAGACAGTAACAGTAAACATCAGTATTGTAAGCAGAGGAGTCTGAGCGCACTCTGCTGGACAAACTGTGTGATGACACCCCAGGCATTATTTTCTGCATTATATGTTTGAAATAAGTTTTCATATTGATGCATATTGAAAAACAGATTTGCAGAGACTGTTATATTTGTGATATAATGCTCGGGCTCTAGCAGTAGTAGTATGCAAGTGCATATTGCAAAAGTAATATTTGCCATTTCTTCATTCTTTCTACATTTTGACTAAAACATCTGTCTGATGGCGTAAGCACAGTGGCTTCAACAGGTCTTAAAAAAAACCTAATACAACCCAGTGGTTCCCAGCATTCTTCCTCAAAGGACCCCTTTCCTATCACTGCATAAACTGTCAGCCCTGACTAAGTGACATATTTTATAGAATTTGTGTAAAAGCAGAGATTTGGATGAATTTTGAGCCGATTACTTCCTGTGAATATTGATCAGAGAAGTCTTCCTCGTGTTTTAAGGATATCGTTATACAGTTCTGTCTGTATTATCTTCAGCTCCTAAAAAATAGTTTAAAATCAAAAAATGTATAATTTAATAAAAACTGAAAAACAATTGTATTAGTTTTTTAAAAGAAGTGAACAAAATGCTGAGATACAGGCCTAATGTGTAACCACTGATAGTGTTACAGTTAGCTTTCAGCATTTTCTGGTCATAGGTGGAGCTGCAACAATTAATTGATTAGTTGTTACCTATTAAATCAATTGCCAGTTATTTTAATAAATGATTTTCAGTTTTTTTTTTTTTAAGAAAACATTTCCAAATTCTCTGAGTTCAGGTTTGGAGTAAAGTTTACACTTATATATATATATTAATAAAATTACAAAAGTACCCTGGGAATTTACATGTCTAATGAAAAATTATGAGAAAAAACTAAAATTCTGATTAAAATTCAATTCAGTTCAATTCAATTTTATTTGTATAGCGCCAATTCATAACAGAAGTTATCTCAGGACACTTTTCAAATAGAGCAGGTCTAGACCGAACTCTCTATAACATTTACAGAGACCCAACAGTACCACCATGAGCAAGACCTTGGAGACAAGGGCAAGGAAAAACTGCCTGTTAAAAGCGTTTGCCTGTTGAGAGAGAGAGAGAGAGAGGTAACAACAGGACAGAGACAAAGGTGCACAGCAACAACAGTAGCAACAACAAAAAAAAAACCAGGAGGCTCCACCAGGATCCATGAGAACCTGCGAGACGAGAAAGCACAAGAACTCTGGGGAAGAAGTGAAGTTAGTAACATGCATTAATGGAACATGAATGAGTGCAGAAAGAGAGAGGAAGAGAGGAGCTCAGTGCATCATGGGAAATCCCCCGATAGTCTAGGCCTATAGCAGCATAACTAAGGGATGGTTCAGGACTCACCTGATCCAGCCCTAACTATAAGCTTTATCAAAGAGGAATGTCTTAAGCCTACTCTTGAATGTGGTGAGGGTGTCTGCCTCCCGAACTACAACTGGAAGCTGGTTCCACAGGAGAGGAGCTTGGTAACTGAAGGCTCTGGCTCCTGTTCTACTTTTAGAGACTATAGGAACCACAAGTAGCCCAGCATTCAGAGAACGTAGTGTTCTAGTGGGGTAATAGGGTACTATGAGCTCTTTAAGATATGAAGGGGCCTGACCATGAAGAGCTTTGTAGGTGAGGAGGAGGATTTTAAATTCTATTCTACATTTTACAGGGAGCCAATGCAGAGAAGCTAGTACAGGAGAGATGTGATCTCTTTTTCTAGTTCCTGTCAGTACTTGTGCTGCAGCGTTCTGAATTAATTGGAGCGTTTTAATGGACTTATTGGGGCAACCTGATAATAAAGAGTTGCAGTAATCCAGCCTTGAAGTAACAAATGCATGGATTAGTTTTTCTGCATCTGTCTGTGATAGGATGTCTCATTTTTGTAATATCAATAATAATATTACTCAGGTGTCTTTTTCTGAGTTTAACATCAGAAAATTGCAGCTCATCCTGGTTTTTATGTCCTTAAGACATGTTTGTAATTTAGATAACTGATTAATTTCATCGGGCTTGATCAACAGGTATAACTGGGTATCATCTGCATAACAGTGTAAATAAGAAAAATCAAATAATAACAGCAGTCCTCTGTAAATGTAAGCCTGATTATTTGTATTTTAGCAGTGTTTGCCTTTATTTATAGCTCAACAATTTTTTTTGTAGAATTAAAGCTAAAAACTAACTGTATTTTAATCATAGAAAAGTTATTTTCTGTTATTTTATTGTAGTTTTTTTGGCACCCCAGCTGCTGGAATGTTACTGTGTTTTACATCCCCGGTATGGCTGCCACTAGCTCATATTGTGTCAGACCAGTATTGTTGTGTCATTGTGCGTTCATTTCTTCTTCCAGGAGTCATCTACACAGAACTGTGTCGCAGTATGAGCCTGTGGCTGCAGCTCCTCATGATACCCTTGTCCAAGCTCTTCTTCCTGGACCTTGAGGCGGGGTCCCAGACCACCCTGCACTGTGCCCTGCAGCAGGGCATCGAGCCTCTCAGCGGACGCTACTTCTCTAACTGCACACTGCAACAAGTGGGAGCCAAGGGACGAGATGATGCCCTGGCAAAGAAGCTCTGGGAAGTGAGTGAGAGGTTAACCAGCGTATCATGAGAGACTGAGTTCTAATCCAGAAGCTCCAGGGACTGTATGAATGCTCTATGCCTTATCAGAGACCTCTACATGTCTCATTGTTGGTCTCTATTTCTTTAAGGGCTGATAGGGGCATCTGTGGCTTAGAGGTAGAGCAGGTCGTCCTCTAATCAGAAGGTTGGTGGTTCGATCCCTGGCTCCTCTCGCTGCATGTTGAAGTGTCCTTGAGCAAGACACTGAACCCTAAATTGCTCCTGATGCTGTACATCAGTGTGTGAATGTGTATGAATGATTACTTTCCGTTCTGGTGAGCAGTTTGCACCTTGCACGGCAGCCACTGCCATCAGTGTGTGAACGGGGTGAGTATGGCATGTAGTATACAGCGCAATGTTTTACTATTTTTACTATCTGCATAATCTGATACTTGTGCTTTATCAAATGGCAGTTTAACACAAGGGATGTTACTTTGCGCTTGTGGTTAAACCACATTTTATGTTTACTTTCTTTTTAAAATGTATTTGTTTATAGTGTAATTTCCATTAATTTCCACATTAAAATCCTTAAAAAGTAATCTCTTCCTTCTACCTCTTTAAAACCTCCAGAATCTCTGAATATACAAATGTTGTTCATTTCTAAAGTTTTCCTGCTGGACACAAGATGTCTCCTCCTTCACTGTAAAGTCCATTCTCAGTGGATGTGCACTGGTGGCTTCAGGTTTCTACATCACACTGTACAAGTTGATACTGGACCAGAACTGACTTCCTAACTACACTGTAAAAAGAATTTTAGAGGGTGGTAAATACAACTCATTTAAATTGTTTAAATCTACTTAACTATATCAGTCAGCAAGATAAATATATCATAATGGGTATTCCACCTACACCTGTTTGTTAACAGTAACAACTGCAATTAAAAATAGCGTAAAATAAACAGGAATATTAGCCCTGCACTGCAACGTGCACGTGTCAGTGCTGGTTCTCGGAATTGTGGAGCTGCGGGGTTGAAGGTAAGATTCCTTTTTAACTTGCTGTGTATCATATCATGCATTTAAATATCATACGGTTGTTTGCAGTCATTGATAATTAGCAGCTAACAGTGCTAACTTAAATGCAAGTGAGGCAATGTGCAGGTTCACGGCAAGTACGGTGGTGACTTCAAACTAGCTACATGTTGGTATTTGACACAGGCATGGTTCTGTGTAACACTGCGTTCACTGCTGAACCTACGAGCATGGTATTCGACAGGCTACAATATATAGTTGGTCAGTTTAGCTTTGAAAGCCATTAGGTTAGTGTGCTTTGTTGCTAACTTTTTTGTTTTAAAATGAGTAAACCCGCATTAGGAAAGGAGCCGCTTTAAATAGAGGAGCAAAAAATGGAAAATGGGTAGTTCTCCGTTTGTTTTGAAAAAAACAAAGCGGAAAAAAACGACCTGTGTTTTATTTATTTCTTTTAAATAACAACGGAAAATGACAAGATTACCCTTCTTCCATTTTTTCTGTTTTGAAAATAAAAATGAAAACAACATGTTTTCCTTTGATGAACTCTGGTATTCATTCATTCATATGATTACAGTATTACTATTATTATTATTATTATTATTGTACTTATTATATTACAGTACAGTATTTTTTCATTGTTTTTATTTTTTCCTCAAGGCTTAAGACACTGCTTAATTGAAAGAAGATATGGAAGCAAAATAGCCCAAAATTTCACAGGCTAGTGGAGAAAAAACACCCAAAATACACACAGTTTTATTTTACGACACTTTAGATTTTGCAAAAAAATAGCATTAGATAATGCCTCATTTGCATGATGATGAAGTTGCCTTCACTGCAGAGTGTCTTATTAGTTATCATATTGTTATACTTGCTGTTTAATTCCACTGACATTCATTGTGAGTTTTGAATGTAACGTGGTTGGACTGTACTTTGTATATACAGTTATAGAAAGATGGATCAGAATCAGATGCCGTTCATACACGCTGACACAGGAACTTAAAATATCCTGGATGCAAAGATGTATCGAAGGTTAAAGACAACTACTAGAAAAGAAATGAAAGAAAAATATCACCAAGGAGGACAAAGAATGGCACATATGAGCAATAAAAAGTGCAGAGCTACAACGTTTAGTTGATTAATTGATTAGTTGGCAACTATTAAATGAATTACCAACTACTTTTTTAACTACTATTTTTTTTTAAAAGAAAAAAAATGTTTAGCTTCTTAAACTTAAATATTTTCTGCAGTCTTTAGTCCTTTATGACAGTAAACTGAACATCTTTGGGTCGTAGACAAAGAGAAAAAGACATTTGAGAGCATCGTCTTGGGCTTTGCGAACTATTTTTCACCATTTGAAAATTTCTACTAGTCGATTAATTGAGAAAGTAATAGGCAGATTAATCAATAATACAAATAATTAGTTAATAATTAGCTAGTTGCAGCCCTAAAATTTGTTTGTTTATTTGCTCACAACATGGCTACAAATCTGCCACGCATCCTGGAAAATCTGTTAGTTTTAAGACTAGTTTTCCAGTCATGGAAACACCTGGACATTGATTCAAATGATCAAATGGGGAAAGTGCTGTTCTGAACTGTCAAGAAAGAAAAAAACTAGAAAATGTCCTGGAAAATGATTTCACTAAAAGAGTGGGAGGAAATGTTAGTGTATTACAAAACAAGCTAACCTGATAATTACATAACAAACACAGCTATAAGCATTACTAGCAGTTATGTTAGATTAAAGACTTGTGTCTCTGAGCTGACAGCTGAACAGCCTCTCCAATCAGGAAAGACAAGAAGAAAAAGTAAACTGGATTTGATCAGGACAAAAAAAACTGTATGAGTGTACTGCTGAATGAGACCCATTAGAATGAGGTGAATGTACCTTGTGAAATAGGCCTGTTTCAGAAATGAAACTTTTTGCACATTTGAATCGACTGCAGGCTGTCTGTGTGCGTCCACAGGGGGGCAGTAGCGTAGCACACCTCTAACAACAGAAACCACAGCGTCTCCTCATGCTGCTCCTCGGCTGTTGTTGCTTGGAGCAAGGTTGTTGAGGACCTTAACCCAGCAGACCTATGGATTCTGTTCATTATGAGCACTGATTATTAACACGGGTAGGCATGAAAGCCGGGTCAGTTGTGTGTGTTAAGAGAGGTGCTCTTGTAATTACTCAGTAGGACATTCTTCTGCACAGACTTCTCCTTTAACCTCAGCGTTGGTGGGGAGGAACACACTTCCACGATCGATTCCTATCTCCTTCTGCCTTCAACTATCCCTCTGTCCCCTGCCTTTGCCCCCCCCCGCTGTCTCTGCTGCATGCTGAAAGGACCCATGGTCAACTTGAATCCTCCTTGAGTAGCAGCTTTAATGACAATCTTTTCTTTATGTGGTTACAGTTCAGCGCTTCACCTCACCTGTTATAGGCAAGAGGTCATCAGGTTCAACATCAAGACAAACAAGAACACAAGTTTAACACGCAAACAGCTTCAATGATCTCTTGACAGCGAGATCTGTGGATTACCCTGAAAACAGGCTGTGACAGAGCGAAGACGCTGTCACTGTCAGCATTTAGATCGTTTGGCACATTAACTGATTTGTAGAAAGGACAAGTTGTACGAATTTAAATGCAACTAATGCATGCAAGTTAATAATTAGTATTTGATACATTAAGAGCAACTGAGGAGACTCAGTTCCCTTCCAGAAAATGTTTTATATGAGACACCAGCAATAATGTGATGCAGTGTAGTTTGTCTGTATATGAGGGACGGTAAGATTGACTGGTCGGTGCAGCAGTACAAAAAATCGTACCGATTAGAAAAGTGTGCATCTTGGGGCGCACAGTAGTTCACTTAGTTAGAAAGCACACCCATGTAGGCTAAGTCCTTACCGCAGCGCAGGTTCGATTCCAACTTGCGAACCTTTACAACCCCCCCTCATAATATTACAGAGGAAATTACCTCAGTGTTGTAAAGTAATGTTACAGAAATAATAGAAGTAATAAAAACATTCTCATTAGATAAGAAAGCCGCGTCATTTCAGGCCAAAGGTCTGCAGCTCAGGAGTGTGCACTTCTCCTCCTTGATCTATAGTTCATAGATGTTCTGTCAGTCCCGCTCCACTCTCTTGTTTGAGAAGCAGCTCATTGATGACTAGTGTGCAGTGTTTGCTTTGGGCAGACTCCACAGCACTGCAGTACTTAGTGACTGGATTAGTGCATCAATTAGGCAGCTATTGGATGCATAGAGCCATGCTGATTGATTTAGATGCTGTGGGAGCCATGTGCTGGTTGTTTATATGGGGACAATATCAACACATCTGAGTGTGTATGAGTGATATTCTGCTCAGTCTGTCATTTTATCAGCGTTTATAATAGATGGAGCAATTGTTGTCTCGTTTGCTGCCAGTAAAAGTGGAGATAAAGCTGTGTTTAAACAGAAAAACACACAAACAGCAAGACATAGTTAACCTACCTTCTTATCAGGGGAAAGAAAGTTATATGAAGTAAATTAGGACTATATATCATACAGTGATTCTCAACCTTTTTGAAGTCCAGGACCCCCAAATTGATACGCATCAGCCTGCAGACCTGTTGTAGCAGAAAGGAAAAAAGAAAATGTACAAAATAACCTGGACAAGAAAGGAAGTGGGGGGAGGGAGGAGAGGAATCAGACTCACCTGTTAGCAGGAGGAGAAACTCACAAAGGCAGCGTGGAAGAAAACCAAAAGGAGCCAAAAGGATTGGATAATTGGGCAGTATAATCCAGTTTCTGGGCATATTTGCTCTCAAAAGAAAATATGTCTCATATGTAGAAGTAAAGAGAGTGGCAGTTGTTCCAAGAACCGACTGGATTGACTGAGCGTTCCTGGACAGCAAGGAACAACAGGAAATATGCTGATCCCTGGATGAAGTGTTTTCAACTACCTGTTTGGCCTGCTCGGATACAGCATTGGACTTTTTGTCTCTTCTGGACCTACGATGGACCTAAGATAAGTCTCTTTACTGAAACTCTCCAGGGTTCTCCTATTCTCTTTCTTTATGTACACTCTAGGGATGGGACAATATAATTGAATATTGCGATAAAAAACACTCAAATAAATGTATTGTGAATTTCCTTTATCGTGGTAATGGTGAATATCCTCACATGGTTTGGCCTGAAAAAGCTGTCTATCTCTCCAGCAAACAGATTTCCTTATTTATTTTGAACAAAGGGACAAGGGGAAGCCGCATCTTTCCAGTAATTCCAAAATCCCAAACCTGTCACAATGACTGAAGGCTCGGCTTACCAGTGGTATCCTCCACAAAAAAACGTTCAACTGGATGTGTGGAAATAGTCTAGATTCCAAAAAAGAGAGTCCTACACTGATCATCATGTGAGTTTTGAGTGATCAGAAGACTAGAAAAGCGCTACAAAAGTACAGTTCATTTACCATTATTCTATAACTGTCTATACTGTAGATTGGCAGAGTAACAGTAAAGAGTGTGAATTATGAACAGAATAGTCTTTCCTATACATTCTCTCATTGGGTTAACTTCTTAAAATATTCCAAGTTTTTTTAGGGGACCCCGA